CGCGCCCGCCCTGACACTGGCGCGGGTGAAGATGGATTTCCATTCAGCGCAGTTCGCCTTCCGACTCCATTAATCCTCAGGGTTCAGATGATGAATTTCTTTCTTTCTTTTTTTTTTTTTTATTATTTATTTTCCCTCCAGCGTTCCCTCCCACTGCCCTGCCACAGCGCAGAAAGAGCCGAACAGATGGTGCTTTGCAGGGAAGCCGGAGCGCCCATGAGGATACAGAGCCTGCCCACTCCCCGGCTTTTTTTTTTTTTATTATTTTTTTTCCCTCCAGCGTTCCCTCCCACTGCCCTGCCACAGCGCAGAAAGAGCCGAACAGATGGTGCTTTGCAGGGAAGCCGGAGCGCCCATGAGGATACAGAGCCTGCCCACTCCGCGGCCACGTGGCCACAAGTGCTCGGAGAAGCCTTGATTTCCTCTGGGAGAGGCAGCGGCAATGATTTTAGTATTCCCGGCGGGCGGGTGGATGGATGGATGGAGAGGAGCTGAAGACTAACGGGCCGTTTAGCAGGGAGACCGTGCTCATACCGATCAACACGGCACCGACCGCTGCCTCCAGCCCGGAGGAGAGCAGGTCCCGCAGTGGGTCCCACCGGTGAGCCGGTTCCTTCGGACCACGCTGCCAGCTGGCCTCCACTTAACCTCCGATTAAAGCTGGGGTCGGCGCTGATCGGAAGGAGGCAGGATTTATAACCCGCAGCAGGATGCAGTTTGACACCGGCTGTAATCAGGAGAGCTGTCACCACAAGGACAGCTGTCAGGCCACGCCGGCTCATAAAAAGGGATGGAGACACCCTAAAAGCAGTGGCTGCCTTGCTGGCCTTGCTCACGGGATTTAACCCTTCCCTGAACAGTCTCTAACAAAAGGGAAGGCCTTGTAAAGGCATTGCTCTGCTCAGCACTGCCAGAGACAGTTTTCACTTGAGCTCTCATGCCTCCTTGCTGCAATTAACAGCTTGGTTACAAAGTGCTTACTGAGGAGATTTCAGTGAGTTCCAGTTTCAGGCCAATAGCCACTTGAATCAAAACCATTCACTCATTTAACAAGCTGTTTTCAAGATTGGGGTGATTTATGACCAGATCAGCTATGCGAGGGAATGAGGACAGCCCGGGCACAGCGATGGTCAGGCAGGGACAGCGGGACACCCGCAGGCACACCGGACCTGTGCGCCAGTGACCCAGAGAGGCTTCCCAAAGATAACATAGAGGGAGGGGAGGTGGGATAATAGTCAAGGGGAAGAAGAAAATCTGAAGACTCAAAAAATTTGGGGGACAAGCCTGCAAAACTGTTGTCATTGAAACAGCTGAGCTGGCAGGGTGGATCAGAGAAACCATTTCTGAAATAACGTTAATTAAATCAGTTATGTTTGCTTGCTTTTGTTACACAACCTGCTTCAGCCACCAGCCACGGGGATCCACCTGCAACTAATTTACACTGAAGCAACGCATCCACCCTCTGCTTTCACATATTGAACTTGCTTGAAGCAGGTGCTCTCGGATAACTTACACAGGTACTATGCTTTTGCACAACCTACATTAATCCACTGTGCACCCCTCGGCAGGCGGATGTCAGTGCCAGAGAGGGGAGCAAGGGGGGAGCATCTCCCCTCCGAGAGAGAAAGCCCAAAATGTGGAATGAGCTGGGCAGAGAAAGAGGCAGTGTGGCACCGAGTGCTGTTGTTCTGAGGACACTGCAGCACAAAGCAACAGATTTGCTACTTCAGTCAGAAGGCCGAGAAATTGAAAAATAAAGTAACCTGCAGGAAAGATGACACGGGGAGAAATCGTACATTATTGTAATTACAGTCTCAGTTCAGGGGCCCTGGAATCTGGTAGTTTAGATCCAGATCCAAATGCAGTGCCTTGGACCGATGGGCGGCAAAGCAATTTTGCCATCCTGCTAATGTCCTCATGGAGAGATCAGAAAGAGAGAAAAAGACACAAACGCTTCAGACTGACAAGCATGCTCTTAATTACACAATGACAAGCATCGAGAGAGAGTATAAAATAAGAACTGGTATGTCTTAATTTTGGAAAAAATGATGATATAGATTCAATCGATACTTTTTTCCTATTCCCCACACACCAGCACAGCGTGTCACTTTAGTCTCTACTTTTCTCATTTGGAGATAGAACAGTCTTTCAATTAAAAGGATTGCTGCAAAATCTCATATCTAATTAGCATGTAATTGTAGGAGGCACACAAACTGTAACTTCGCTCTGCTGGTTTTGGTAGTAGAGAAGCTGCTGCTCTCTCAGCTACGATCAAATGGGTTTGTCACCAGGACATGTTGAGGTGAAGGCCATCTTGCTTGTCCCATTCCCCTCGCCTGTGGAACCTCTTAAAGCCAGTACAGACCCTTCTCTCAAACTTAGCATCCTCTAACCAGAGCCACTCCTGGGTCTGGAGGCGGTACAACCGTGTCTTGGAGACACATAGGTGCACAGGACGAACTCTGCAGAAAGTGCATCATTAACTGGGGGAAAAGGAAGGCTTTAAGGGGAAATTTGCAGAGCAGAACTAAGGGAGTACAGCAGTCTTCCTCGCTGCTTCTCCCAGGGCTCATACCATGCTGGGATTTGCCGGTGGAGGTTGCTGCTGGTTAATCAAATCCAGCTTCCCTGCTCATATTTCTACTGAAATTTGCTTTCTGTACATAGACCATTTACTCCAGTGGCAAATCCATCCTGTTAAGAGAGAATAACCAAGCTGAAAGGCAGCTTACCATAATGGAGTGCAGTCTGGCCTTCCCCGTCCTGAAAAAGAGAGAGAGACTTGATTTTAGAGGTACAGGTAACGTGGGGATAGAAGTAAATCCCAGTTTTAAATAAATAAGCTGAATCACGGCAATATTTAATTGACTAGATAAACAGCCCAGGACACCCAGCTGCCTGGCAGTTAGGCTTTGAATCATCACGCACCATCAATCCATATTGATGGAAAATCGATATCTATCCACCCATAAGAGTGCGTGGATCACGTCATGACATGAGTATAATTCAGTTCATAGCGTTATCACTTCCAGCCCATAAAAATGAAGGATTTCAGTCCTACGGCCTTGCTTTGGGACCCTCACTAATCCTGCTGCTTTACTGCAAGATGCTTCTGTGCAAGCCCAGCCTTGGCCAGCTATTCGAGAGAAGGGTAAAGCACTGGGACGCTGGCACAGCTTGGTGCGCTGCACTCTTCGGCACAAGGGAGCACACAGGGGAAAACCCCGCTTTTCTTCCAACTGAATAAATCTTAGGTCCTTGCTCTTCACAATTCAGGTCTGGACAAAGGCGGACCCAAAGCCCAAGTAAATCCCTGCAGGATGAGGGCAAGGGAAGGGCTACGCGCAGCGCTCGGGAATGAGAGCCCGTTGCTGAACTCATCCTTATGAAACACCTGCAGCACAAGGGCAAAGCAAACCGCGTGATTTGAAGACATTGGCACACAGCTCCCTCTTCAAGCTAACACATACGCCACTGCATCAGCTGCAACGGTTTGGGAAAGCGTGTGCCATTCCCAGCCTCGGCAAGCACAGGCAGGGCTTTGCCGGTGAGTGGTTGGTGCTGGCGTGGCACGTCCAGCAGTGCAAACCCAGACACCTCACCGTGCCGCAGCCTCGTCCTGCCACAACAACAGGTGAAACAACAGAAGGAAAGAATTGTTGGCCCCTTTGCTTTCACTACCCCACCAGGATTAGCCTCTAATTCAGTTCTTTGCCTCCTTAATTTATTTGCATCTGTTTATGGAGACTTAAGTTTTTAATTACCATTATCTTTGGGATTAAGGTGCAAATTCTACCGTCTGCTGTGGATTCTGGAGCAGGCGAAAGGGAAAAGAAGAACAGGAAAACAGGTAGAAATCCCACCCGTAGGTGTTCTGAGACTTCTGGTTTCCCGGCTCGTTATTCTGTTTGATATTAACTCTGTCCACCTGAGAAACTAGGAATGACTTGTCTTCAGGGTGGGAGGTGCCACGCTTTGCTCTGGGACACCGCACCAACACGCACCACAGGAGCAACAGGGACAAAAGAGAAAAGCCAGATGTAACCGGCATCTGCTGCCTAAACATCCGTTTCATGTCTTGGCTGGGGAAAATGTGTGTGGGTGAGATTTTTTCCTTCCACGTGCCGCTATGACCCATTTGTGGCACTCAGGCCAACGTTCGGAGGTGCCTCATTTCAGAAGCCTATTTCTGCCCAAATTGTGGCTAGCGTAATGCAAATGGGTGTCATTAGAAGATACCACAAACCAAACAACTGAAGAAATCAAGGACGGCATCCATTGATTATTCCACACTAATAAGGTAACGGATCTGAGCCAGAGGCCCCGAGCGGTCCTTAAGCACATGTCTGCTTGGAGGAGTGACAGGGCCAGTACTGACTTCAGCAAAATATGGAACGGCGCTGGGGAAGAAGAGGCAGGAGCGCTACGAATGAGTTATTGGAAAGGCAGGCTTTCAAATATGCGGGTTGCGTGTGTGCTGGGGGGATGGGAAGCCAGCTCCCCTCCGCATCGCAGCCTTCAAAATTGTAGCCGACAAAACCCGCAGGTGAATGGAATTGGAGACATGCAGCAGAAATCCCTTTCCATGGGAAGAGTTCGCTGCAAAACTCCTTATAAAATACATAGGACTGCTCCAGGAATACTACAGCCATTTGCTCCTCTTCCAACGGCCTGCGTAAAGCACTGCTGCTTCAGCAGCAACCTTTTGGCTAACGAGGCTTTTTACTTCTCATACATGTACTTTCTGGCATTTATTGGACTAAGAAGAGAGTGCAAGTCCCAGCATACGAAATGCGTCTCTTTAATCCCAGTGTGGTTTTTAAAAAGAACTATTAATCCAATGTTATGCAAACATTGTTTACACTTTATTTACACCGTGGATTTTTTTCCCCCCTTTGAGCCTGATGGCTGGCCAAATGCTATTTGTTATACTTCTCAGATGCTACGCTATTTGCTTGTATTGTCTCTGTGACAAATTTTAATCCAGGTAAATGGAAAAAGCTCTAGTGTGGTCACTCACTAAGGGCCTTGAAATGCCCTCCGGAGGCTGCTGATCTCAATCCCTTTTTGATTTGGCTTTTCAGAGCACCGTGGCTAATCGGAGCCCGACGGGCCCAGCTGCTCTGCACACAGTGCTTGGCTCCAGGTACAGCATCGCTGAGCCTTCGCTGCAAAATGGCCACACCTGGAAACTAATCAAAGATGGGCCGTGAAAGTGAGGATTACAGCTCCCATTGCAGAAATTACGTGAGACGAATATTTCCTACCAGGCGTTGGAAATGTTTGTTTTACAACGAAACAGGACGCGCAGAAGTGGTCTTAGGATGAATTGCAGCTGGCCTTGATGCAAGGGCTATTTCCTGATGTGTGACAGAAAGCAGTGGTTTCTGGAGCATCCTAGGGAAGGTGCGGTGCGTGCTTCTCCCAGGATGTGCCTCTGTTGGGACCCCAAACAATGAGCGGACAGGGACAGCCTGCCACAGCCTCTGCCCTCACCTCAGTGCACCCTGCCCAGAGCACCAGTAAATGTCACCGCTCAGCCCGGGATCGCCGGCACCAGCCAGGAGCAGGGTGTCCCACGCACATCCTCTGCAGCTGGGAGGGACACAGAGATGCTGGCGGTGATCAGCTCGTCTGACTTGCAAGCGGGGGCAGCTAATTTTTCTCCATTGAAAACCATCAGGAGTTTTGTTGGTGTATTTTATACAAAGCACTGAGTTGGAGGGGGATGTTTGTCATGATTGTTTACTTCTTCTCCCTCCAATTTAGCTTTCAGATTACAGAGATGTAAATCATACCGAACTGCGAACAACAAGACCCAGAGTCTGTAGACACACACTGAAATAAATTTGTAATGTAAAAACCCGAATACTGTAACTAGTTATTTTGAAACTGTGCCTATGGAAAGCTAGGTAATCATGGTGCATTATCATTTCTGTGCTAAGGCAGATTAAAAAAAAATTAGAGACTTTTTTTTTTTCCCAATAGGAGCTTCTGTAGCGCAAGAAGAGCACAAAGTGAAGATGTTGAGTAGGGGAGCTGGTGTCAGGGAGCAGAAAGAGAAGAGATGGGCAGCTCCAGGGCCAACTCTGAGCTCTGCTCTATGCCAGGATGCCTCTCAGAAATGCCTTTTCAACATCACACATCAGTTGGAATAATGTCAATGCGACAGGTTAAAAAGGAGGCAATCAGTGCTCTGATTCAGTGAACCTCAACACAAAAGGTGGAAAAGGCCAGGCTCAAAGCAGTAAGACTTAGTGTTTCTGTAGAGCTTTGCTTTCGGCTTGCAAGGCACTGGCAGGTACCTCCCCCAGTGCCCTTTTAGCAATACCCTGTTTATAAAAAAGAGGAGCTCGTGGAAATGGAAGAACCCATATAGGTAGACAGAAGATGACCAGAAAGGTAGGAAAGACCATTCCACACTCAGATGGAGCACTCAGTCCCACACACGCAAGTTACCCACCAACAACAGATCGATTCCAAGCTTTCTTCTTGCACCTAATGCCACGTGCCATCCCTGGTGCCTGTTACAGCCTCCTGGCACATCTGGCCATGGCAGGATGACAGCCGAGTTACACGGCCTTCAAGGGAGATGAGAGCATTTCCAAAGACTTAAAAAAAACCCCCAAATGTCCACATCTACCAAAACCATCAAAACAAAGATGCTACAAAATCACCAGTACCTCCTACGTCCATGGCCTGCGACAGATGTCACTCAATGAAAATCCAACTACCAGTGGGTAACTTATTGGATAACAGGATTGTGTTCTGCTCCTGAGAAATTTAAGCAAGAGAAATGAGAGAAGATGGACCGAGCGCAGATGGACCAACTGTCTTATCCGTTAAGTGGTACTATGGCTACTGCACATCAATTTTGTCTTATAAGTGATAGGATTATATCGGTGTTGCCATCCGATGTTCATTCCTTGGGAATTTCTGTACCCTGCTTAACCTAACACAAGGTTTCTGGGCTGAGGGGCAGAGACATGGAAATGGCTTGGCTGAGCCCTGCTGTGATGCTGCACACGCTATAAAACAAGATTCCCGCTGCCCTGCCATGGCAAGCAGACCTTGACGTGACAGGTTTGACTGTGCTGGTTTCACGGGACAGTTTTTAAAACAATGTTATAGAAACATTGACCTTCCAAAGTTGCCTCATTTGCTCCTCAAGCTGCGGGCAGAAACCTCTGTGAGTGGGAGGGCAGCCCTAAGGGAGACACTGTCTCTTCATCTCATGTGTTTTACTTAGCACAAGTATAGAAAGAGGAAAACCAAAATCGTGCTGGTTACCTTGGTGATCTTTGATGCACCTAGACCCCGTACCGGTGATGAAGCTGGGGCTGGACAAGCCTTCACACCAATTGTGAGGGTCTGCGCAGGACCCCCATACCTCCTTGAGTCCACACCGAGACCTCATCTCTGTGTCTTCAATCGCATCTCCAAGCACAAAACCATGAACGTGATAAGCAGAGCAGAAAACATATACACTAACCTCACCCTTTTGAGGGATAGCACATGCACTCTTTATTTTAAGGTATTCTTTCCCTCACATCACCTCTTCTTTCTGTTCATTTGTGGCCCCTTTTAAGGTGCACATGCTCATTCCCATTGACAGACTCCAAATGTTGGCAGGGATCGCAGGAGATAAGACCGATGAGGTGATAAGAGTGTTTAACAGCGCTGGGTCCTGGGCAGCATGGATGGGCCAGAGGGAAGATAAATATTTACACTACATCTTTAGATGGCGAGTGAATAAAAAGGGC